ATAATAATAATAATAATAATAATAATAATAATAATAATAATAATAATAATAGAGGTTTGCCATTTATAAAATAAAAAGGCTGATTCAATGATAAAGTGGCACAGCAACAGACCAAGAATGAGTTGAAGTAGCCTTGAGCTTGCATACTGCTAAAAAAATACCTTCCATAGCAGCTTGTAGAGCATTGATTGGGTCAATTTCGGTGATAATCACACGTGCACCAAATGCTCGAAGTGACGCGGCCGCTCCTTTGCCAACATCACCGTAGCCGGCCACAACAGCTACTTTCCCCGCAATCATCACGTCGGTGGCGCGTTTGATTCCATCCGGCAGTGATTCGCGAATACCGTACAAATTATCGAATTTCGACTTCGTAACACTATCATTCACATTAATTGCTGGTACCTGTAAGCATTTGATGGGAAAGAAGGCATAGGCCAATCCAGGACGGTCTCCTGGAATGCGGGGGAGGGGGAGGGGACACAGAGTATCGAACAGAGTTTTGTACAGTAAAACAGCTGCTACCTGAGTCCCTAGGAGGGCAAAAGAGTAGTCACAACAGTGGCCACCTCTTTCACGGTCATCATTCCCTTTTCCTGGTTATCCGCCAAGTCAAATATTTCCCAGAAAAGTCTTTTTTGTGCAAATCAATGCATATTTTTCCGAACAGTTGTTGATATAACAAATTAACCTTTAATTTTCCAGCTTTGAACATTCTGGTTAGATTATGGACGCCAGTTGTCGTTTCCTCGCTTAATCCATAAATTCCGCTCAAATATTGCGGGAATTTTTGGTGCACAAAATTGGTAAGATCGCCACCATCATCCAGAATCATGTTCAGCGGCTGACCATCTTTGAATACCAACGTCTAAAAGTCAGTGGCATTCAACACAGTAGTGAGGTAGTAAAAAAACGTGTAATAAAAAATAGGAAGGAAGGAAAGGGAAACGGAGGCACAACTAAAAAGCAGTCATTCCAAGCAGGAATTTCGGGGTTGTGGTAGATGTGCGGAGGTAATTGGCAGCCGTAGGTGGGCCGAAGAATGACAAATAAAGTAGTGGACTGTAAAAACCGAAGAAATTTCAGCAGTTGACGTTACCTGCTCAATGCACCACTCATATTCGTCTTCAGTTTCTCCTTTCCATGCATAAACAGGAACTCCTCGTAGTGCTATTGCTGCAGCAGCATGATCCTGCGTTGAAAAGATATTGCATGAAGACCATTGTACCTGCAAAAAAAAAAGAAAATGCTATATGTCAATACAAAAATAACTTGAAAAAATTGACCTTGACCTTCAACTTAAGCATTTTTTTGAGCTCCCAATTTATAGCCAATCAATGCTTTTTATTTCTTCAGCGTTACTACTCTATTGCCAAGGAAAGCTTGTGCTCTGTTAAAACTGCGGGGAAAGTTTGATGCATGCAATTAAAAAGCAACATTTGCAATTTTTACCCAACAAATTTTCATGATAGGTCAGGGAAAGGCAGGGAAATTCGTTGCTCAAT